GGGATTACGTGAGTTTTGGGAGGAGGAGGGTGCGTAAGTGCTATTTAGTGACACGCGCGCATGTGTTCGCCGGTTTGGTCGCGGTAGACGGGTGATCCCACAGCAACAAAAAAACCCATCAACATTCAAAGTCAGTCCCCCCGAAACCCACAAAACTCGAGAGAAAAACAATCCACTTTTTCTCTCCAAAATCCATGCCACGTTTCTCTTCAGGCGTTTGTCTTGGAATTGAAAGCAAGCTCTCGTGAACGGCCTCTCCCCAGCAAGCTCTCGTGAACCAAGCAGCGGCTTACAAGTACGCAAGTACCGCTGTTCGCTGTTGTATGACAGCGCGTACCTGCGTGTGAGCGAGGCGAACTCCTCCCCCGCCGCCGTCATGTTCTCCTTCTGGCTCTTCCGGAGCTCAAGGATCCTGTTACAGGCCGCCGGGGCAAGAGAAGAAGTAAGTGCGGTTACCTAATGACCAAGACAACAAACGCAGAACTGCTACAACAAGTGACGGAAGCGCGGTTACCTAATGACCGAGACAATAAATACAGAATTTCTACACGTGACCAAGCGCGGTTGCCTAATGACCAACACAATTATTCAGAATTTCTACAAGTCGAATCATAATCTTTTACCAGTACAGATGTACAAGTGATCCCTCCGGAGTGTGCTCACGAGAGGGGTGATGGGAGATGAAAAAAAAATTAGGCAGCATAACCAGCCCACAGCTGTCTTCCAGCTGCAGTATGGCGTTTCACAAAGTTCAGCAGCTCACACAGCTTACGGGGTTTTGACGTGGAACAGCCCAGCGAACCTCACCGAACCAGAGAGAACAAATTACAAATCTGCAGTACAGCAACCTTCATTATTGACGACACAGCTTATTGTTAATTATTTGGTGTTTACCCATGAATCCGCCGGTTTTACCATGGCACAGCAGTACCGTGTTAACAATGTCGAGGCTACACACGAGACACGCATGACGACTACCACGCAAAACAACGAAAAAAACACCAAAATATGTTTAGGCCCGGATTTTCCCCATGGGTTCTCGCCGGTTTTATCCATGGTACATACGTCGTAACAACGTCGAGGGTAAACACGAAACACGCAAGGCGACAACCGTAAGGACGCCAGAGAACGCACGGGGGTTGCGATCGATTTTCAGAGCGTAATTTCTCCACAACCTGGAGGGTGCGAGCGCCAACCGATACCTCTCAGGAAAGCTCTCCATGAGATATTTCCAAAAGCACCTTTCCGACAGTGGTACTGTACCCTCCTGCTTGTGGAGAACATATGGTTTGAAAATCGATCGCACCCCCGAGCGTTTTCTCGCATCCTTACGGTAGGCCAAAAAACGCGGCGGCGGCGGCGGCGGCAGCATCAGCAGCAGCGAACCAACGCGGCATTGCCGTCCATGCCAGATACAGCAGCAGCACCAGCACCAGCAGCAGCCGCCGCCACCGCCGCAGCAGCAGCAGCTAGCCGTAGCAGCAAACAGCACTCGTGGTGGCTCTAAAAACACGGCACCAGCAGTGATCGCGGCCCATAAAAAAAAATAACTGGCATAGCGAGCACGCCTGTAGGCGGAGGACCCCCATCACCGAACGGTTCCGCCGCACCCAACGACTCCGCCGCACCCAATGCTTCCGCCGCACCCATCACCTCAGTCATCACTCAGCCAGTCGTCAGTGAGAGCCAAACTCACCTCCTGTTGAGGAGGGCCTCCCCCGCCTTCGCCGCCTCGGTCTTCGCCTCCAGCTGGTTCTCGGCCGCGAGAAGCCTTTCGATTTCGTTCATTCAAGGGCGAGAAAAGAGAATTAAGGAAAAATGAATACACATACAGAGAGACTAGACTACCGATTCGAGATATACTCACACAGGATGTGGTGGAGTATTTTCAGTGAGTGGAGGAAAACCGGCTGGGTACTGGACGAGACAAGAGAAGGAAAAGGAGAAGGAGAAGGAGAAGGGTTAGGATTAGCAGCTAGGGCGGGTAAGCCACGCCAACGGGACAAAGACAGGAAAAAAAACACACACACACACACACACACACACAACACACACATACACACTAAGACTGACGTCTTTTCATTGGTCAGTCGGTTAGCGCGGTCGATGCAAATAATAAAAACATACACACAAGTAGATGTGTGCAGTTTTCTTCTGCTGCTACGGTTTCTGTCTTTTGATCCGGAGACTAGATTAGTCTCCCCCATGCCGCCCCCTCACGGGGTTCCAGTTCATGGCATTTAGAAGCGTTTCGTGTTTTCAACCGCACGGAGACTGACGTATTTTCATTGGTCAGCCGGTCAGCGCGGTCGATGCTAAAAACACACACACACACTTAAGGCTACACTCTCCCATGACGCCCCCCTCACGGGGTCGGTCCCAGATCGGTGGCCCGGCCACAAACATAATCGATTCCTGATTGTCATCGGCACCGCCGAGAGTACTACTGGCGTCTCAGGGCCAAAAATAACGAGGAACCTCAGGCGCCTGCTGCTGTACCTGTATCCACCCGTAGACGCATCTATCGATCGTTGAGGGCGCCGAGTTCGGGGGAACCGTAAGAGAAAGCAAGAAAACCCACCCAGCCCTGGCCACAAAACTAGGGGGTCCTAGATGTGGGATTCTTTCTACCTTCTTTTTGCTACATCCGTGTACTTTACCTCACTTTCAGGGCCAGAACATTTTTCCTATATCCGTGTACTTCGCCTCTCTTTCAGGGTTAGAACATTTTCCCTATATACGTGTACTTTACCTCTCCTTTTACCTCTCTTTCAGGGCCAGAACATGACACGTACCTCGAGGAAGTGCGGCCGTTAACGAACTGTAGACACCAATACTGTTGTAGTAGATTTGCGTCTCAGCGAGGGCGATGCCGTAGAGGAAACAAAAACCCGCACATCCTCGGCCACAAATGCCAAAGGTTCTCACAGCAGTTGCTAACTGCATCCATCACATTACTCTCGTTCATGGCCGCCGCCATTCCCAGCACCTTCACTGCTTTTCCTGCCGAGACATCGAGCTTCGAGGGGGTGTGATGTCTTCCCAATGCAACCTACATCCGGTATACCATCCATCCGGTAGAGAAAACGCTTACTTCTCGTTGAGGGCGGCGTTCTCCCGCTCCAGCTCCGCGGCTTTGGCCGCCTGCCCGCCCGCCGCCGCTTCTCGGTGCCGCTCCGCCTCCTTGTTCTGCTCCACCTGCTGCTCCAGCAGTCGAATCCTACGGCGGGGTGGTGGCGGGGGGGGGGGGGGCCCCCATGTTTTGGGGGGGGGGGGGGGGTTCGCCGAAAGGGGAAAAAAAAGCCCACAAAAAAGGGAAAAAATCCTTTTTGGGTAAAAAATCCCCCAATTTTTTGAAGCCTCCCCCTCAGAGTTAAAAGTTTGGGGGAAAACGACAAAAAAAACCCCGGGGAAAAAAAAAAAAATCTGAAAAAAAATTTTCAAAAAATTTTT